TGTATATACTATATATAGAGAGAGAGTTTACTGGACACGACAAAGTAACCAAAATCCATTTGTTCTTCATGTCAGAAGTAGCGTGAGCGCTTGGAGTACGACAGAAATAGAAAAGGGCATCACTGTCGGGGATTTGTAGTGTCGCACCGTGCCACATCCAGTGTAGACAGCATCACTGATTATAATGGGTTCTAATTGCTTTTGTCACTCATGTCTGCTGTAGACACGGTTTAAGATTAAGTTAACTACATTTAAATAATTATAATTATTTATTGGGACCTCTGGAAGTTTGATGAGGCCCCCTGGTTAAGAACCACTGATGTAAAAAACTGATTTTTTTTTTGTCAAAGAGGTTTCAAATGAGGCTGTGTAAATGATAAGAGAACTTTCACGTTTTGGTGAACCATCCCTTTAAGGTAAATAGCCTCTTTAAAACATGGAAATAAATCTTTTCTCCAATCAGTTCACCAGGGATTAGTTTGAATGGCAAATATCTTGCCTACTCTGACTAAATCTAAGTCTTGAAAAAATAAAATGTACAGCAGTAAAGAGAAAATTTGGGCAAGGCACCTTGCACACCTTAAATTTGGTCTGGGTCAACAGCACAAGGAAGAATTCAGGTGACATTTTAATTCACTCTCCTCAGCAGGCAAAAACACACGAGTATTAGAGAAAAGTAGCACAGTAATGTCATCCTAGCCGTTGGAAAAAGTGATTACAAAGACAAACTGCAACCCTACAAAACCAGGCTAGCACTTAAACTGTCCTTTTCCTCTTCAATTTGAGTTATATGACCTCCATACTCTGTTTCCAGCACGCTTGGCTTCACCTTTAGAATTATTTTGAGTGGCTCTTGACATAATCTCAGCCTCCGACATCTTTTTTTTTTCCTGAAAAGAGTTCTATGTGGCATTGTGCCAGAAATGAACCACTCCTCCCGACGTCAGATCCCTGTGAGGTACATTGCGTTAACATTACGATTCCCCTCCCCCATTTAACTCCCTATCTTTTTTTTGCTTCTCTCCTGTTTTTTTTTGCTCGTCTGAAAACACAGCTCTTTTGTTTCAAAAAATCTCACCAGTTTTTCCCCCCAGGGTTGAACTTTGTGATATTCTAATTGCTTTCCACTATTTTCAGCAACTTCCACCTCCCACCCCCGATCTCTCTCACTCTCTCTATCTCTCACCACCCCCTCCCTGGCCTTTGAAGGTGGGCAGAAATAGCGCATGTTGCTTGTATCTACAGAGTGCCTTTCTAGACAGAAAAATTAGCCACCATTAATGAAAACAGATTAGTTTTATGACCCAGTTGTGTCCGCATCAGGCCTCCCATGACTCAATCTTATCCGATGAGTTTCCAGAGATCAATTTATGTTGGAAACAGATCGCTTTTGATTTTTAGTCCATTGGATTTCAGTAAAGAAAACGAATGACATTGAGCGATCAGGTGTTTTTGTGGTTAAATCAAGTGCTGGATAGATTACTTACAAATACTGTAGTCCGTTACTGGTTAAATCACACCTAGTAATCTGGTTACACCAGCATTACATGTCATCGGACTCCCAAGGTGGTCACTCAATCCTTCAGAGGCAAGAGGGGTAAAGAGACTCAGGAAGAGGTGTTAATTTTGGCGCATCCAAACCCTGACTATATGGAGAACTGTTGAGGCTGCCAAGTGCTAACCTCATTAAAATAACTTTTTTTCTTGACCAGTTGCCAACCTGGCTGAGAATCGGGGAATTGGATTTGGCTGCCATACAAGGAGGCTAATCAAACCTTGGGCTTCTAGACAACTGGACCTATCTTGTTCCTTTAAATTAAAGCTTTAATTTAGTCTCAGAGGAAAAGGCTTTTGAACTGACCAACACCAAAGCGTTTGTATGAAATAACTGTTTGTTCTCATTGGCGTCCTCCTGTGATTTCTGTTTTTGGCTTGTTTTTTGGTACAAACTGGGCCCTGGGAGTGCGAAGCCCCGAGCCATCCCTGAACCCAGGATTGAAAAATAACCACAAAAGTGCACAGGGGCCCATTAAACACCCCTTTCCCATTTATCATGGCACAACAACAAGAGCAGCTGTGTACTTGCGCTCTCACACACACACACACATACACACACGTATCCATCAGCAACATGTGATAATGGCCACAGCGATTGCCAAACCACGCACAGAGAGGGTGGACAGCCAGGACCCGGGGAGAAAGATGATCTTATTAAGTGTCAATGTGGTACGGGAGGCTGTACGTGAGGTGGCTGACACATTCTGAGAATGGCTGGCATTGTGTCCTTGCTGAGTGATAGCAATAATCATAAGGATGGCAACAACATGAGCGCCAGATGAGCAGAACACTTTTCAGCTGATGCATTTCAAAAAACAAGACAGAGATGGATATTTTGACAGGGAATACCTCATTTACCAGACCCCTTTGTTAATGGGATGATTCAATATTTTCCCAAGCTAAATGTTACCAACAGTTAATAAGCTCAGAATTATGGGAGCCTGATTTTTTTGCATCCGATTAAAAAATAAAACAGGTAATTGGCAGGTTTAAGTATTAACTTAAATTGTGACATATAGTTGCAACTAAGTCACAATTATGAGAAATCAAACTGCAATTGAAAATGAAAATTTGTAAAAAAAAAAAAAAATACAAAAAAAAAAAGGCAACCTTTTTCATTGTTTTACTCTGAGGCAAGATATACTTTGCCACTTCAACAAATTAATATTTAATTTTCAGTTCTTCTTTCTAATAATAAAGAAATGACTAAAGTGAACACCATATGAACTTGTGAGGACTTGAGAGGTTTTTGAGCTATCTTTTATAGTACAGTGATAAAGGTGACCTGCTATCATGATATTAAGGGGAAGGGCTATTGTTAGCCTGCATCACAGTAATATCACAAGGTCCCATGACTCGGTTGTCTAGTGGACTTTGCTGTGCCTTTTAATCCATAACACAGACAGATTATAAAATAAAATAAAAATATGGTTTCTGTTTTTAGTGTTTTCTTCTCCATTTAATTTAATTCTACTCATGTCTCGCCATTGGCTGCAAATGCTGGCCTTACAAATACAAAGTCTGGCCTTGTCTTTTATTTACTCTACCTCCACAAAGCGCCACATCTCCATCGTCAGTCAGTCTCATAGTTACATGACGTGAACATGGGAGCACTTCTCAACTCCCGATGATCCTTCAGAGCCTACTGGAAAAGGGAAAGAGCAGCTACCCGTGAGACTGGAATTCACGGTTGCTAGGAAACGTGGTGGAACATGAATATCACACGTCAGAAAGCTCAGCACGGTGGTAAATAGTTCTGTGAGATGAGATGCACACATATCTCCCTCGATACAGTAAGTCGCTTATGCTTCATTGGTCTCCATCACCATCTCTTCGCATTTGTTTGCATTGTGAATGAGCCTTCGCTCATTCCTCAAACAAGCAGTTCCCTACACGTGATCACTTCAAAGGCCCATCACCATTTGTGCACAGTCGGTTAACAATGAAACACTCAAGGCAGTGTTTGTATTTCAGCCTTGCAGCTACAAAATCTGTTGTGTATCCAACATTGGGAACTCTGGCAACATTTCAACAAGCCCTTTTAAGGAGACTGCAGTGGTCTGATAGAAAAGGTTTAGCAGAATAAGGACCCTTTGAGCAGGAACTGAATTTGCCTGCTACAGGACTGACCAAAAGTCATTTTTTATGAGAATTCGATTTTAAGCTTTTTGAACAGCCGTGCCGTTCGCCGGCATATTATAAAATGTTGTTTCAAACATAGACTAAGCAACCTCAGTGTAAATTTTTCATTCATAAGTGGTTTGAAGTCTGTTATTTTCAATCCTGTAAACGGCAGAGCGATGACCAGGCAAACAGATTGTCACTTAGGAGTTATGTCCAATTTAAACAGAAATTGCACTTTTCAATTCAGAAATTTTGCAAGACATCTCAACTAATTCAGTCATTAAAGCCCAGTTTCACAGACAGGGCTTAGATTAAACCAGGATTAGGCCTTTGTTCAATTAGGAAATTTAAATAGATTTTTATAAACATCAAACATGCCTTAGAAAAAACATTACTTGTGTGCATCTTGAGACAAAACAATGACACCAATATATATTTTAAGATATGTGCCAGTTGCTTTCAGTTAAAACAGCTCAAACATGCATTTTAGTCTGGGACTAGGTTTAAGCTTAGTCTGTGAAACCAGGGGTAAGTGTTTAATTAAAAGCTAATTACACTGAAAATAATCACAATATCACTCTAAAGTTTGTAGCAATGACAAGGTAAGTGGGTAAAACCAAACTGTAGGTACAGTTTAATAACAGCAACATACCTTGTAAGCTAATGCTTAACAACCAAAATACTGACAAATTCTCTTTTTCATTCCAACCAACTAAGCAATGATTTGAAATAAAAGGCAGGGGAAAGCAGTTTTTGGGTAAATTGTTAATTTTATTGGAAAACAAATATACAACTTGGAATGGATTCTGAGGCATGGCTGTGCCATAAGCAGTTACAAAAAAAAAAGTGACTAATTAAAAAGCATAGTAAGAACAGAACAAATACAAAAAGATTAGAGTGTATGAGTACCTGGCGATAAACCCGTTAGTATTGAATTCAATGATGTTGCAATAGTGCAATGCTGAGGACTTTTCCCATTTCTATTTATACTCAGTCCATTGTCCATGCAGAGTTGTGCCTCCACATAAAATCGAAAGAGAGGAAAAAAAAAGTCATGCCAAAATTGTTGAAATGACGACACACTGTCAGTCAGCTGGACCCTTGATGTCACCGTTCGTCAGGTGGGCAGGCAGACAGAGCAACAGAAGGGGAAAGGGGGCTGTGCGCAGTCAGTATCTGTGCCTATACGCATCACCTGGTCCCATAACTGCTCCTTCTAACAGATTGTTTACAACGGTTAGGAGTTGGGGGGAGGCATGAGCACTCAAATATTATAGTATACATGCAAATCCTTTGGACAGCAGGAGAGGATGGGGGAAATTAAAATGAAACATTGTACAGAAATTAAAAACAAGAAAAGGCATATAATTTTATACAAGAAATTCTGTACAAGGCCTTCACTTCGCTGTCATCATCTGTACAAATTCTGCACAGAAAGAGAAAAGGAGAAGTTTTAAGAGTTACCGCAAACAAACAAAACTCAATTCAAAAAATGGATGTAGACTATTGAATTACAACTTTTACCTTCATAATTGACCTGACCATCTCCATCAATGTCTGCTTCTCTAATCATTTCATCCACCTCCTCATCTGTTAATTTCTCCCCCAAGTTTGTCATCACATGGCGCAGCTCAGCAGCACTGATATATCCGTTCCCATCCTGACAAGGACCGGTGAACAATGAACAATGATCCATCCAAATTATTTTAAGTCTAGAATTGTTACCAGCAAAGCCTTATTAGCAGGTTAAATGAATGCAACAGTTCTTCAGAAGCCTTACCTTATCAAAGACACGAAAAGCTTCTCTGATCTCCTCCTCGCTGTCGGTGTCCTTCATCTTTCTTGCCATCATCGTCAGGAACTCAGGAAAGTCTATTGTTCCATTACCTAATTAAAGGGCAAAGTACACAGTCAGATAAGTAACACAGCACTTTAAGTGAATATAATTTCTAATCGTGATAAAATACTTCAGGGTTTCAAGTCATATGCAAATTGGACCCTACTCGCAAGAGTTCACATCATGCTGATGGCTAATGTAGCAGCAAAAATGTGTCCTCACCATCTGCATCCACCTCATTGATCATATCCTGCAGCTCCGCCTCTGTAGGGTTCTGGCCAAGAGAGCGCATGACAGTGCCCAGCTCTTTCGTGGTGATGGTACCATCCCCATCTTTGTCAAATAGCGAGAACGCCTCTTTGAACTCTGTGAGAATTAACAGTGGAGACAAATCAGTTTGAGTCCCATAACCACATTTTTATAAACATGTCAATCACTTTCCCATTTAAGCAGTACTTCAACTCCATGTCTAGCTTTTTAAATAATTAATTGCTTGTGAACATTATGATTCCACATAGCTTAAGGCATTTTGTAGATCCTATATGCAATTTGTCCTATTTGCTATGCACTACATGTCAGAAAAAGCTCAAACTTTAAAACAAGTCCCCAAAGCTAAAAGTAGCATAATTGTCTATAGCCAAGACCAGTAACAACAAACGCCTTCATAGATAAATGACTAAGATGACAGGGTGCCGAGGGAGACACACAAACACCCCAGAGCCATGGCAACAACTGACCACCACTACTAGTGTTAGGCCTTTGAGTTTAACCTGACCCCCCCGAGCACCAGTAGTTAAATGCACAGACATGCAAAATTAGATCACTTTGTATAGATGCCTCAAGTACCATCTACACTTAATTTCACAAGATAACATTTTACAAGAAGGTCCAGCAAGAGTCAGCATTGTCACTAAATAGTTTAAATGGGGAGAATTTATCCTTTAAGGCATAGTCAAGACAAAACTATAGTGACAAGTGAGACTGCATTTCAGCAGTGCATGCTTTTCCCCAGCGGTCTGAACACTAAAGGGTAATACAAACTCCCCTCTGTGCCAACACTGTTCATTGAGTAGAGCTGATGAGACTGTTTGATACTCCCTTTGATATGACATCAGACATTACAGATGCACAACCGGCGTTCCTCTGTTACACAAAACACTGGCCCATTTCAAATGTTTTACTATAAACATGCACAATAATACTAAAGCTTAAGGAAATGCATTAGGCTCACTTATTTCACTGTATTTTTAATGAAATTTATATATATATATATATATATATATATATATATATATATATATATATATATATATATATTATTATTGTTATTGTTTAGGCTCACTTTTTTTCTTAATAGAAATAGCTAAAGTTATGCACAAGAGTCTGCACATTCAAGGAGGCGATAACCCATCCATGTCCACAGATTTGACTAAGATACCACCTTAAAAGGCTAATTATAACAAACTAGAACAGCCAGGCTATTTCAAAACGCTTTAAGCCAACGCAGAAACTGAAGGGGTGTGTAAGCAAAGAAAGTAAAGGACCTTACCGGCTATTTGCTCCTCTGTGAGTTGATCGGCCTGGGGATGGGAAGAGATGCAAACAATCGTATTAATAAATCATGCGTACAATATACTCACTACGAATTCGTAGTGTTTTGGTACTCTTGACATATCTAGCAACCCGTGTGAGACCAAACAAAGACCTCAGATTCCCTCCCAGCTACATGTTACGACATCAGCTCGAGAGAATAAAGTCTCAACACAAGACACTCCTAACAACAGCAGTTCATCCACCCACCTGATTCCTGGTATTTGGTGAACTATTCTCTCGTGGCACTATAGACAGTCATTTTAAATAGTAAATGTAACCTTTTTACTGTTGTTGTAACGTTAGTCCTGACCTATAATGCTCGAGTAACCCGAGTAACTTACTGCAGGCTATTTCACAACGAGCCAATCTGATCACTACGTTGTAACATGCATGCACATAACTTAAACTAAATGGATATAGGAGCAAAATGTGTGATGCTGAACATTAAGATCCTTAAGATGGTTCAGGAATTAGAATACATAAATCCTCCACGACTTCATGCTAAAAAGCACAATACACAAGTTTTTTTGTTTTGTTTTTGTTTAACCGGCTAACTTACTTTTCTTAACGCTTCCCGTTAACGTTATACACCCCACACGTGATGCTGCCCAGTCGGTACAAAACCAGAGCGTAAAGAAAATAAGCAAATTATGTTAAAGGTTGTATAAAATGTGACTTATTGAACCCCATTACCAAGCTTTGTAATGAGGAGCCTACGTTACGATGTGAAGAGGAAACTGAAAGTGAAGGGGCTCAAGCACACCCCTGAAGTTTAGCAATACTCCCTTCGCAGAATATCTTAGGTTTAGCCTGTGATATTTAAAAACCCGAAGCGAAATATAACTTAAAGTAAGTTACATCAAAAACTGAAGATTGCGGAGCGGCGCGTCATGTATTCCTTCATTCAGTCCATCCCCTGTAGTCGTAAATTTGGCGGCATATTTCTGTAAATATTAACAAATACATTCTTTTTCTGTTTCTTGACTTCCTTACTTCCGCAAAAATAGTTGTAAAGATGGCATATATTTTCATTAACGCATATCCATCATTAATTTGAAATATAGGCGTGCACTCACCATTTTCTCTTTTTCTCTGTCAGTCTCCCTCCGTCTCCGTGAAAGATTCACAAATGGTGGTCGGAATATTGGTATAGACCCGCCTTAACGGTCGTACATAAACACCTCCCATCTTCCTGTATTTATCCGCCAAAACGCACTGCATTCTGGCCAAGGGTGCGTCGGAAATGCCGCAATATTTGTCCACGGACCTAAACAAAGCTTGAGCAAAAGTTATCTATGTCATTATTCATAAACAAAATAGTCTTTTTATTGTGCTATCGGCAGATATTGACGCATAAGTACAGGCGGGACTATCTGACGGCGGAAGAATACTGTACGCGTTTCGGTTGTGCGGATGACTCTGATTGGTTCGTTTGTACCTGCAATGCGTCACTCCCTGGTCACACACACTGTAGAATTTGCCCTGTCGTAAATGCCATGAGATAAAATAGGGAATCACCTGAGCCGTTGTGAATTCCACCCTTAGGGTGCCAAAATTATAGTGTTAATCTGCTGGTTAAATGTTAAGATTTTTTCAATTACATAACACATACATTTCAATTACATGTGGGCCTATTACAATGCATCTTCACACAGATGATACAACTTATTCATTAAAGGTTTACTATGTTGGGCTATTGCCTAATTTATGGACATATTGTGCAATTCATGAGCATTTTTAGATTCACGGAACTTTAAATGCTTTAAATGTGTAATCAAAGAAAGGTTGTACAAGTAAATGCAATTATAGGCCCTATATGCACAAGGCCCATTCACATCCAAAACAATAACTAGCCTATATAATGATATTAACTATTATATAAACTATGTTAGCGTATATATTTATAACATTCTGTTTATTGTAAGCGCACGCTGCAGTCTGCCGCTTCAAAAGACCATTTGAAAATAAATTATATTACTTCGATAGGCCTACTTTCGATATTTCGTAAAGAGCTTGTTAAACGCATGATAAAACCCATGAACATGGAATATATTGATAGAAGGGCCACTGTAAAACACAAGGATGATAACTGTAATGATTTGTAAAGTTTGTTCTAAAACTATGAGAATATGGAACAACACAGAGGAACAATATCATTGATTGGAATCACTTTCAGAATGATTTTTTTCCACCAGCTGATGAACAATAAATGCATTGACAGCCATTCAGAATCTTTAAAGCATTTAAAGTCACCATCAAAATTGTTTTTATGGAATATTGCAGTATTTAATGATTTATCTGTGGGCAGCATTCTTTTTTTTTTATGTGCCCCTGTAATCTTAATCTATATAGACAAAATCAAGTTTCAATCAACTACATTTTTTTTTCTTTGTTCGAGAAGGCTTTCACTCGGATATATGTCAGAACAGGGAAGAAAGACTATCACAGCTTCCGTTTCATGAGGACTTTAAAGAAGACACAGCAGATTATTGCTGAAGTGAAAGCACTTCGAAAAATGAAAGTATAAAAAAAGTTATGGAAGTTTAAATTGACTGTAAATCAAATGTACTGTACTAAAATATTTTTATATAAAATATATATTTTACAAAATAACTTTTACTCTAAAATTACTATGAAAACAAAGCCATATGTCTAACCAAGTTGTGTTCCAAATTTGAAGTTGATATCACAAAAATTTAAGTTCCTATGAGATTTTGTTTAGGAGCTGTACCAAACATATCCACCGGGTGTCCAACATATTCCATTGAATTTTGTTTTGATGCATTCTCCTGTGAGAAATTAATAAATGTCTGTCCGAATATCACTTATATCACAAAATATGGAACCGTGCCGAACAAGCCAGTAGCACCTCATTGCAGTACACGAGATCCAGGGGGCGGAGTTGGATCCAGATCTAAGGGGTGGAGATGGGTAGGATTAGGGGTGGGGTTAGGGATCAGGGGGTGGAGATGGGTAGGATTAGGGGTGGGGTTAGGGATCAGGGGGCAGAGATGGGTAGGATTAGGGGTGGGGTTAGGGATCAGGGGGCGGAGATGGGTAGGATTAGGGATCAGGGGGCGGAGATGGGTAGGTTTAGGTATATGTAAGGTAGGAGGAGTTGGATCTGTATCCAACTCCTCCCCCTGGATTTCGTGTTCTGCAGTGAGGACCATCTCGAACAAGCCCTGAAAAGTGAAGCCAAAACGTCTCGATCGCCCCCCAGTGGCCGGTCCTAGTATAGGTCATAAACCCCGCCTCCCCATGTTATTCAACAGCACGGGAGACCAACTAAACAATTAAATTACACTTCAAATATCGTTTTTTCCAAATATGGTTTCTGTCATTTACTGTAGTTTTTATCACGCTGATGTAATTTCAAGTGTTTGTTTTTAAAATAAGTTTGTTTTTAGTTAGTTATTGGATGCGGTGGTGGTGACGTCATGATTGACAGCTGTGATTGACAGGTTCTCTGAGCGAAGTAGTCACTGAAGCACCAACAGACTTTTTTTTCGGGATCTTCGGAGGACTGAGGAGGAGATTGGAGCTTTAAATTTAATATCTAAATTTCTATAATTAATAAAAAAAAAGTGCAGGAGCGTGTTCTTGCGATTGATTCTGCGAGAGTGAGGGCGGGGCCTTGATTTCACGGCTTTACTTCCTGCTCACTACTGCGCAGGTCTGGTCCCGAAATCGCTACTGCGCAGACTCAAGTTCCAAGATGTCAGCGCCATATCGGGATACTGGCGGCTGCACTTCTGACCAATGGAAGAGAGCGAAGGGGCGTCGTCCATCTTTTTTTACAGTCTATGCTCAGACCTTTCCGACGATATGCGTTTTTTTTTTTTGTCAAGATTAGAAAAGGTTTGATTATAAAGTAACCTAGTTAAAACAAATTTTGTAATATGAAACCTGACACCGCCCACTATAGGGGAGGAGCCCGCTAAAATAATTTAGAGTACCGTTTCCATGGTAACACATCGTCCAATTTAATTTCATAACGGTTTACAAATTTTGAGTTTGTAAGCTTTTGAACCTAATTTATGATGAATGAATACTAAAATATGTGATGTGAAAAAAGGCGATAAAAAAGAGTGTCAAGCTTCCCGCTAACGGGATGGTGACACCACATACTGTATCTGCTTTTTGTTATCATTTAACAACCAAAACAATAAGGAAAGCAAACCAAGGTCTATATGATTAAGAGAGTTTGATTAATAAGATCGCAAAAAGCCAGTAATTACAATGGCACCAAAAGTGATGCCGACAACCAGATCCTGCCTTGTTTCAAGGCCTATTCAAGCTTAGCCAGCTTCTCAATGCTTGACTGCCTTAGCTCCAGGCCACCTGTCTCTGGCCATGTCCCAGGTCTGTTGGATATTGAAGGAATGAGAAGACAGACTGTTGCTGAGGGGGGTTGAGGCATTTTTATACTAAAAGAGCAGCAGGAGCAACTGAGATTATCTATGAGTGAACAACAGTCCTCAATATTGTAAATGTGATACATTTGAATAGGTGCTGTTGGATCATGGAGTTCACTATTAATGTTTTCCATGTCTCTGGACCCCCTCACCCCTAACCACCACCACTCCAAAAAGGAGATGACTGAATCAAGCTTCCTTTTAAGAAAACAGTTACGTCTAAAATGAACTTGGGTGGTTCCTGCATACTTGCCTTCCCAGAGGTTGTAAAACCAAGGGAAAGAGTGAATCATGCATTGGTTACACACAACACAGGCAACATGTGTGCTTAATGCCTCTTTCAGATTACCAACAGTTTCCGCCCTGTCTGGAAGGGTGTCTGGTATCTTAAAACCTTATTTGTTAACTGGAATAAAGCAAGTTTAAATTGAAGTGCTAAAATACAAAAACAAAATACTAACGAGTACTATAATAGTATATAAATACTAATACTAAAATTACACCTTTTACACATTTTTCATACAGTCTTGCGCTGAGAATGTTATATGGTTACTTTGGACAACATTGTAGTTTCATAAAATATCATGACATTATTATTGTACAGATATATAAATATGGCATTGTGAAAAATGATCATTATCATGATCGTATTCAAACGAATTAATTCACTCAGGATTTTAATCTAGTAAAATGAGTGCAGGTGAACCATGTGTATGCGTTTAACTATGCCAGGAACTTTGGTAATAAGATGCCAATGTCTGTGAATGGGTAATCGAGGACATAAAAAGCCATGTGAGACACAGATGGTTGATAAACACTGGTATAAAGAGCCCCTGACCACTCAGGTGTTTACTCAGAGCGAGGGCCATGAAACTGAAGACCTATTCATTCTTAATGCACATTGAGGCTTTGTAGCAAGCACTGGCAGACTTTGCAACACCAGGCTCCGGTTTCCCAACATAGACCGGTGTGTGCCTGTATGCATGCGCGTCTGTGTATGTGTGGTTGTGTTCACGAAGCTGTACATAAAGGAAAAAGAGCGTGACTGAGATTGTCTTTCCCTTTCTGAGTGTCCATCTGTTTCCCTCTCTCTTTTTTGAACGACAGCCAAAGATCATGTAGTTGAATAATAGTGAAGGCAGCAGTTATCAATTTTAGGCAAACTTCACAAAAAGTGAACGATACATGGTAATTACGGAGAGGATTTATACCAAACTCACATAGGCTGTCCATCGAGAATGGAAGGAGGATCTTTCAAATTCAATTCTGCAAAATTCAATTCAGATTTTGCCACAATGGAATTCACAAAGGCTTGAATCTTGACAAATAATAGATAAGCTCTGGATCTTTGGCAGTAAAGCCGATTTAAAAAGGGGATTTATATTCATATAATCTACCACCTCTGTGCGATTTCTCAATGAGAACAATAAATAAATCAGAATTAAATGGACAGAAAAAGAGTGTTTTGTGGCAAACGCAGGCTTTTTTTTATTAACATCAGGAGCTTTATGAGATCAGTGGTATAAAAAAGCTTAATTATGGATGGTTTTTGGAGCTTAGTGTTCAGAGAGGTTTGGCATCTTCAATTTCAATCTTTGTAATTGAAAAATGTGTACTGTATTACATAATGCAATCGTTTTAAGTTTACATTATTCTTCATGTTGACATAATATATCTATGAAAAAGGCGATATAATAAACTGCCTGAATGCATATGACAACCTTTGTGTAAACAAAACAATACATTCAATAATAAGATCCA